ACAGAAATATTTGTTAAATAATTGTTGTTTAATCTATTTCAACACAATTACAAAACTATTATACTGTCTTATTATTATATATGATCTCAAACGCTAAAATAAATCAAATGTGTTTTTGCATAATTCTTGATGAGTTTGATTGACAGCTGTCATGTGAATTGGTGTTTTCTGTCGGTGTTTAAAGTCGTTTAGTGTGTGGTGTCTAAAGAATTTAAAACTAGCTGTTGCCAGTCATCCACACAAAGATTACTTTTATTATATTTTCAACTGACGCCGGTGACTAACTGCACCTGTTTACGAATGTAGGCATATTAATTTAAATAACTAAATAAAATTGATAAGTTCACAGTTTTGAGTTGCAAATGCAGAATTGCCAACTCACATGTTTTCAAGCCAAAAATAAGACAATACTGCAAGTGCTTGTGCTGTTTAATGCACTTAAAATATGCTTTTCTCCAGTGCATTTTTTTATACACTCTGTTAAAGGGATAGTTCACCCAAAAATGAAAATTAGATTTACTCTAATAAATTGAATTTAAAATTAAAATGTTTTACTCTATTTAAATTAGCCCATGATTTACTCACCCTCAGGGCATCCCTCTTTCAGATGAACACAATCGCAGTTATATTTAAAATTGTCCTGGCTCTTCCCAGCTGTATAATGGCAGTGAATGGTGCCCGTTTTTGAAGCCTAAAAACTTCATCCGTCCATCATAAAGCTCCTCCACACGGCTCTCGGAGCCAGAGCACCCGGTGGATTTATGATGGATGGATGCAGTTTTTAGGCTTCAAAAACAGGGGCACCATTCACTGCCATTATTTTCATTTTTGGGTGAACTATTCCTTTAATGTTATGAATTTAAAGTCACACATCATATTTCCATTTTGCAAATCAGTGACATAACAGCAAGTCATTCAATTTTAAAGACACGTGAGCTTGCAAAATACTTCTATATATAATATATATTATAATATCTCACCTGGGAATTATCTGATACCCCTTGGGTAATCATTAGCTAACAATCATAATGTCTTTTAAATTCATTATTAAAAAAATAAATAAATAAATACAATTTAAAAAAGCAAACTAGCAATTGTGAGTTGCAAAGACAGAAAAAAAAACATGATTTTCTCAGCTTTTTGTCCAAAATGTTGCTTTTTTAATGAAACTTGCCCACATTCAGGTTTTGATAAAAAAGCTAATCATGAAGCTAGAATAATTTTTTTTTTTTTTTAAGAATGCTCTGTTCTTTTTTTTTTTTTGACATATTGCATGTTCAGATATTCATTCATCAAAATATTCTGGGGGCCATGAAAAGTTTGTGAAAATGTTCAAAAATGCTGGTGATGACTGGAAACTTAAAAACGCTGGCAGGGAAAGAGTTAAGGGCATATACTACTTCTAATGTTAATACAGCTACTGCTAATACTGTGATTGTCAATATTCTTCTCTTTAACAAATACATTTTCTTTCATCAGACTCATAAAGGTTTAAGTTAGAATATATGAAGATAAAAAAGTATTTTTCCGAATATCAGATTCAGAGAACCACACTCAATTTACACCGATGCATGGTAGCTTAATGTTTGCCCCTCAGCAGATTTATCGAGTCTTTTGATGTCTTTAAACCAAGCACTTGGTCATATTAAGCTTTTTATGGAGAAAAATGGGATCAGAAAGAGGCAGCTTCAAACTCGGATCAGCCGCATCAAAAGCTAAATCCACTGTCCTCACTCTTCACGCCGCTCTCCCAGATGTCAGACTCTTTTTGTTTTCTCTATTAGAGTAAACAACCTTTGCCAATAATACAGGCACTCCGAAAATGTAATGTAATACTTTGTGCATTGCTTTGTTGTCTTCCACAAACACTGTTTTAAAAGGTTTTTTGAGTAAATTGTACTAGTGAACTGTCACTCATTAATCCATCAGTCCATGAGTACACGGGGACAGAATATTAATTACTGTAATATGCAGGTTGCAATATTCCTTTTGTTATATGTGACCCTGGAGCACAAAAGCAGTCTTAAGTCGCTGGGGGATATTTGTAGCAATAGCCAACAATACATTGTATGGGTCAAAATTATTGATTTTTTTTAATGCCAAAAATCATTAGTAAATTAAGTAAAGATCATGTTCCATGAAGATATTTAGTAAATGTCCTACTGTAAATATATCAAAACTTAATTTTTGATTAGTAATATGCATTGCTAAGAACTTCATTTGGACAACTTTAAAGATGATTTTCTCAATATTTAGATTTTTTTGCACCCTCAGATTCCAGATTTTCAAATAGTTGTATCTCAGCCAAATATTGTCCTATCCTAACAAACCATACATCAATGGAAAGCTTATTTATTCAGCTTTCAGATGATGTCTGATGTCAATTTAAAATAATTGACCCTTATGACTGGTTTTGTGCTCCAGGGTCACATATTGTATACTGCTCTAAATATGTCATCCCTTTTGAACTGGGGACAGTGACCTGTAGACAATCAGTATGAACATCTCACCTAAGAACCGCCACCTCGTTGCGGAAGGCTTCAAACTGCTCCGGTGTCGGCTTGGTGACTTTTAATATCTTCACAGCCACATCACCTGCAGCGTGTTACAGTGTAAGTTAACACAGTCATAGCAGCTAGACTTTACTGGAGCAGTTAACCTATGCTTACCATGCCATTTCCCTTTGTGTACGGTTCCAAAGGAGCCCGAGCCGATCCTGTTCAGCAGCACGACCTCGTTAGCTTCAATCTCCCAGTAATAGCTCGAGTCTCTCTTATCCCTCGGCCGCTACAAAACAGCAACTAATGTTAAGCACTTAGTGACGTAGGCTAAACAGTCATAATTCATGGCCTTTCATGGCCATTATTATTATAATTATTTACATTTCACAACAATTGCACACATTTTCTGGTAACACTTTACAATAAGGTCCCATTAGTTAACATCAGTTAACGCATTAACTAAACTTAACTAACAAGGAGCAATACATTGGTTACAGTATTTAATAATCTTTGTTAATGTTAGTTAATAAAAATACAACTGTCCATTGTTAATAATAATAATAATATTAATAGATATGACCTTTAATTTTAATAATGCATTAGTAAATGTTGAAATTGACATTGACTAAGAATAATAAATGCTTTAGAAGTATTTTTTTCATTGTTAGTTCATGTGTAGTTACTACAAACAAATTAACTTAACTTTAAGTTAATGTTAAAGGAAACATATTCTAAAGTGTTACCCATTTTCCAACTAAATTCTCATTACTGTAATGGATATTTAAAATTGAAAAGTACAAATGTAAAGTAGACATCATTGTAGTATTTGTTGTTCTGCCATTAATGTGGTTTAAAAAAGCTTTCTGATTTTCACTACTGTACAACCATTTCTGCAACAATAATGAGAATTTGGGGGGAAAATGTGCTTAAAAGTCATGAAAATGCAATGCAAAATGTGAGCAAACGATTTTTATACTCACAGACCACAATATTCACCACAATATTCACTGCAAGGTACTTCAAAAAACACCATAGTGTTATGTTCAAAAATTATCATCATCAGACATCAGGCAACTGTTTTTGTGTCTACACTCTGGGAATACTGTTTGAAGTTGAGCTCTTTCATGGGTGTGGACTTCTCTTTATATCTCTGTGATAAGGACATGTATAACTGGTACAGTTTTGCTGATTGGATTAGACTGGTGACACTCCAGAGTCTGAGCAGGTTCCTATTAGGGCTGTCAAACTGGCTGAAAAACTAAATTCGAATTTTGTACTTAAATATGATCAAAATTCGAATTATATTCGAATTTAAAATGCATAATTTCAGTTAGGGTGAAGGCCACAAGAGGGCGCATCGAGCAAAACATTACTAATGCACGTTTATTCAAAGCATAAGATAACATGACTATCTGTGAAAAAAGTACATAATGTTTAAAATGTTTATAAACCAATTATAATTAATTAAGTTGCTTTTAAACAACTATAAGGATAGACTAACAAAAGCATTAAAATGCAACGACACTTACATCGTCGTCGCATCTCGTGCGCCACTGATAAAGCTGCCTGACGCATGCCTAAAATTCGAATGCAACGTTTTTGTATTCGAATGTGGATTTTTATTTTAAATTCGACGAATATTCAAAATTCTAATTTTTTTTGACAGCCCTAGTTCCTATAACTGTTTACATCTTTTGCACGCCTTGGTCGTGTCCTGAGTGCTTTGTCTTCACTTCTAAGGACAGCCCCCTAAAATGTATACACCCTAACTACAATTTAGAGTTGTAGAGTACAACTACAATGTAGAGTAGACTGCAGCACAACAACAACAGCACATTCACAATAAAGAGTCCTGCTGAAGACAGACCCGATTCTCCTGGTCTTAGCATCTGAGTTTCCCACAATACTCCTTAACAAATGGCCAAACAGAATGAAGACAGAGCTTCACAAAACGTACAATTTTAACCTGAGGGTTCAGGGACGGAGCCCGCTCTCTCTGGGCCATATTGTGCAGGTTCCAGCCTGTTGGACTCTGATCCGGAGAGCTGCTAGCTGTAGAGAGATGGCCAAAAACATTAACCTGATCCATATTCATGCCCTATAACTAAACTACAGCAAAAACATTGTTAATGCATTCAAATGAATCTGTTTTGATGATTTATTCTTACCTGAATTGTGAATGCGTATGGCGTCCTGCATGAAAGGCAAACAAAAAAAATATTAAGAAATAACACAAAACTGCTCATCGGTATTTTCACTCTTGCAAATCCTAGAGCGCGCTGCAAGACAGAAGCACATTTTGCACATTTTATACAGTTTCCGGCTGTTATGATGTGTACTGTACACAACTAATCACACACTAGATCATTCTCTACTGTAGTTACGATCCTATTATTCCCTTCTTAATGTCCTTAATGTTTTTGAGAGTTGATTCTTGACATCAAGCAACATGAAGAAAGGGTTTGTGGTCATGCATACACAGAACAGAGGCAGAAGAAGAAAGTTTAAGAGCTTGCTTAGACACAAACCCCTTCGATGGTTTCTTTTTAGATCCCACTTCACATTGTCTCAAACTCTTTCCTCTCACAGTAGGCGCGTTTCCATTACAGATTTGTGCAAAACTTTGGCGATATTTTATAAATGTCGATAAAAAAGTATTGCGAAATGACGGCGTTTCCATTAACCAATGTTATGAGACTTAAACGTAACCTTTTGCCTCTCGCGATAAGTCATGGCAATGGATTTTGGTGGGATTTTGGCTATATTTATTCAAAGGAGGCTTTTGCGTGTATCTTTACACAAGCAGCAAAGAGAGCCGCGTCAGAAACGTGCGTGGCGCGGCTGGAATAAACCATAGACTGTATAAAAACATAAACACAAGCATTGAGTGGCCGTAATCAGCTTCAGTGACCGTATCAGAGCCACACTGCACCGCAGACGTGTGCAGTGTAAATTGTCTAAGCATTAATAGTAGGGAAAGCCCATTATACTGGAGAGCGGCCACTTATGAAGTGTTTCTTGGCAGTTATAGTACATTGAAGAATGATCATATGACTTTTTACATACGCCATGTGACCTGTAAATAACCGTTTCCATTGCGAATTTTTCCTTTTTCGCATTGCCTGAGAAACCACCTCATGCGAGCGCAAAAGCGTTTTTGCGATATATGGGCGTTTTTGCGAAATTGACGCGTTTCCATTAGGCGTATTTTCAATTCGCAATTTCAATTTGCGCAATTTGAAGGGTAATGGAAACGCGCCTAGTGTCATAGCATGCTGCTGTCTTGAAAACGAGTCGGCTAAATTTCAAAGAAGTATAGTAAGGTACATTTACTGCAGCAGCTGTTGTATGGTCTATGGCGAGGACTGGGGATGGTTATAACACTGGGTGAGTTGTAACGACAGTAGAGTAACCACTAGACATCACACGATCACCGCCTGAGGTGACAGGAGACATTTCTCTCTGTGTACAAACAGAGCAACAAAACTGATGCAGAAAATACAGCATTTAAACAGAATTAGTAGATTCTATTGTTTAATTTGATATACTGTATAACATTTTGTAAACTTTTACATAAATATTGAAAAAAATATTAGAAATATCTGAGCTGATGGGGAGGGATGTAACGCTACTTTCCATATTTATGTCTACTGGACCTAAAAAGATTTCAATGCAAAAGTTCCAAACCTTTAACCATTTTATATACGTTTTAATATTTAAACTTGTTTGCTGCTTTAGAATTAAAGGTTTGTCTTTTTTTATTATTATTATTATTATTATTATGCAAACAGATATACAATTTGCCGTTGACAAATCAAATGCAACAAATCACCAACAACAACAACAATAATAATAATAATAATAATAAAGCTATAAATAGTGAGATATTGTAAGGCTGCCTCTGGGCCCTCCATGAGCACAGCATAAGTTGGGACAATCCCATCCTTGTCTAGTCCCCCGGTGCAGTGTGAAGCTACGTGATGTTAGTCCATTGGTGATGACAGAGGCTGAAGGTGATGTATACAGAATATTTATCCAATTAATGAATGACTCCTCAAAACCAAACCTCTCTAGTGTGGAAAACAGGAATTTCCAATTGACTCTATCGAATGCTTTTTCTGCATCGAGAGTGACTATGATGGTTTTGTTTTTTTTTTAATTGATGAGTAATACATTAAGTTAAAAAGTCTGCGTGTGTTGTTAGATGCAAGTCTACCTTTTATGAAACCAGTTTGGTCTGGATGGATTATAGATGGTGTGACTTTTTCTATTCCTTGGGCTAGTGCTTTGGCACTAAAAAAGGTCTGGAAAAAAAGATGGGTCATCTGTGTTTGGGCCATATAAACTGCCAATTGTAACTGGGCTATTATTAATTGAGATGTTTATGATAATGAAACGTCCCTCAGGGTTTATAACAGTGGTGTTATGAACAAATGAGATTTTTTTACTTATCAGAATGCATACTCCTCTCTGTTTTGTGTTGTAGGGAGCCAAGAATAAATGATTGTACTTAGATGATTTAATTTTGTTATGATCAGATTCTGACAGATGTGTTTCTTGCAGAAGGCATATGTCAGCTTGTAGTTTATTTAGATGGTTAAAAACTTTAATCCTCTTTGTCTGAGAACCAAATCCACGAACGTTCCAGGTTACAAAAGTGATAGATGATATGTTTTAATGAAAAATAAGCAGAAATGTATATTAATGTGTGGGTCTGTTCGTACTGTATGTGTATAAATGTGAGTGTATGTATTCGAAGGGGTATGGCAGTGCATATGTGTGTGTGTATAACAATGCAATGTTGTTAGCAGACTGACAAAACTACAGATACATCATTGACAGAATGTACACAGCAGGACAACAATAAAACAAAAACCATTAAATACAAACATAGGGTGGAACATGGGGAGGGGCACGAGACCTAGGTGCAAAAACAAGAGCACATCTTATAGATTAAAGAAAGAGAGAGAGAGAGAGAGAGAGAGAGAGAAAGATCAGTTTATCATAAAGGTTTCTCTTTTTACCTACATTTAAGTTTTTGAAATTTAGAATTTAATGCATGTACAAAAATAATATATGATGTTTATATTTTATATTAGTTAGTTCTATTAGCACATTTTCATTGCAAGTTTTTAAAATAAGTGATAAGATTTAAAATAGTTTTATGCATGGAAACAGGTATGGATGTTATAACTAAAAATTTTACAACCATCCCAGTCTCTGCAGCTAGACTAGTTACAGACTTGGTGGAATAGTTAAAAAAAATTTTAAAAACGGGACCATCATTAACCCTCATGTCATTCCCTATCTGTATGCATTTTGAAGAACAACATCAGACCCCACTGACTTTTATCATACAGAAACACTGAGACACTTTTCTGTAGAACACAACATATGATACAAGGGTGACTAAATAATGTTGGTAATGAACTTTCCCTTTTAAAAATGAAAGAGTAACAAGCTTTGTATCGTAGAGTAGATTACTGATTATTGCAACATGGAAATAAATAGTAGGCACAGTGAATTATTAAGCTCAGAGACGGACTTCGCACCAAACACAGGCTGCATCCAAACTTGCAAACTGTTGTGTTCACTGGCAGTGTAGGAAAGCATCTATCCGTAAAGGCAACAAGACAGCTGCACCGTTTTAAACACAACCTTACTGAAGAGAAGAACAGCACCTACTCTTCTCTTCAGACAGAACTGCTGATGGCCCCAGGAGCTTGGAGACGTGTCTAGCTACTCCCCAGCAGCGTGTAACAACACGACAGTGTAGAGAAGAGGGAACAAGAGCGATGGAAGAGAGAGGAGAATGGCAAATCTGCTCACTTTCATTTATTTTATCAAGCTTGTGGATATTAGACTAGAGTGGAGATCGAAAAAAGGTGGAAGTACAGGATAGAGAAGAACAGATAATCTTCATGACTGGAGTGACGGCTGGTTTTATAGCAGAGTTTACCTCGATCTGGCTGCTGTCGACAGCCACTGTGGCGCAGACATTGGGAGTGGAGGTGGAGCGCAGTCTCTGTGTCAGAGCCGCTCCAGATGGGGGGTAAGCGCTGGAGAAACTGAACACACCACGGTTTGAATCACTATGCACAGAGCTAATGGAAACACACATCTCAGACTACAGCATAAAAACTGACCGTGTTATGTGAAACAGACTGTCGCAGTATCTAGAGACTAAATATCATAGAAATTTGGGGGTGGTGGGGGGACTGGTATAATAACGTGAAACTGCATTTCATGCCCGTTATGAGCTGTGATGGGTGTAATGTGAAAGGGCTCATGCACAGACGTTCTTTGTCGTCTACTGCATTGCATGCATTAGTGAATCAAGCCAGTGACTAAACTCCCAACTATTTTGTGATTATTTTACGCACAGAAAGCGATCAAAGATCACTCTCTTTATAATTGCTGGCGCAGTCAATTCAAGATCAAAGCGAGTCTATCAATGATTTGATTTCTGCATTTCCACCAAAACTCCCGTTATAATCAATGACACGGTTAACACTGCTCAACGAGTCTAAAATCTACACTGTGTTTTCAGTTGCACTTTATTTTACAGTACGTGTACTTACAGTGTACCTACCTAAGAAAGTTCTGCTAATGTAAGGTAACTACTTGGGGTAGGGTTAGGTTTAGGGTTAGTACCTATGAAACAGGACTGTAAAATAAAGTGCTACCGTGTTTCCACTGTGTTAGTTAGGAAAGTATTGGTGAGATTGCAGGAATCGCGTCGCACTGTGTGTCGGCACACATGGCCGTTTGGCTACAGAGCAGCGCTGCAAGATGAGTTCAACTCGACGGTTGTTACAGTAAAAACACAGTAAAAGTTTCAAGAGAGTTTCACATGTAATGCTTATTTCAAATGCAAAGGCGTTAGCCAATCACAGCAGTGTCCTAAATTCAGGGTGGAAAATTATTTAGATTTAAATTATGACCATTCTGATAAAAAACATACTAAGATTATAAGTGCACCTCAGGAAACATTATAAAATCATTTTAAAAATGCATTTCATGACCTTTTTAAAGAGCCAAGTCAAAAGAGACCACCACATATTGCTTGGGTCCTCAATTCAGTCTTTTTTTTTTTTTCTCTTTCTTTTTTAATTTTACTATCCATCAGACAAAAACATAAATCGGATTGCCTATGGAAGTAATAGGAGACCTCTCAACAAGAAGCAAACTATTATTAAATAAAGCATTATTGATGTATGCAACTTATTATTATGTTTTTCATATACTCTATATATATATATATATATATATATATATATATATATACACACACATGTACATACACTGGGCCGCATTCATGAAACACGAGCTAATGAGTTTTCACAAATCTGAGGTTTATGATGTGTTTGTAAATCCAGAAGAGTGTTTTTGGAAAGGCCCATTTTATGCGCCAATTAATCAGAATTAGGGTTGCAAAAAGGTGGAAAAATTTTCACCAACATATTTTCCAGTAAATTTCGGAAACATTCCAGAAATTTTGGAAACTTTCCAGGATTTTTGGGAATATTCCAGGTATTTTTGGAAAGTTGCCGGAAATTTTCCACCCCTTTGCAACCTTACTCAGAATTTACTTATATATGTACGAACGAACTCATGAATGAGGCCCATTATACATTTACAGAAAACAAATGGTTTCAAAGCTGAAATGGGGGCAAAGCAGTCTGAGATGAGGCAGCGGTTACCTGCTAGGGATCCTCGTCAGGGATTCCCTCATTCTCCGAGATGTAAGTGCAGGGAGAGATGGAGTCCCACTCTCGCCAGGAGTCGGAAACAATCTGTCAAAGGTCACATCAGTGTCATGCGTTCTGAATAATTCTACTCACTTCTTTGTTCTGAAGTAGGTAATAAGACATTTTCCTACCATATGAACAATTTAAGCTTGAATGTGAAGCATATTTTTGTTAGTCCACAGTCAGTGAACCACCAACAAACTGCACTTACCAAGAGCATATTTAATGGTACAACGATGTAACATCTGAATTACGCACACTGGGTCTTTTCGAAGCAAATACTGATGTGACTATTTGCAGTGAATCTGATCGATAAATCATCTGATCATATCATGGAAACATTTTTTTTGATTGTGCAAACCCTATTTTTAAGTTGCTGGATATGTTCTGCGAGTATATAAGAAACACTCACAGCAGTTGTCTGATGTTGGTCCAGTCGACACACATTGTGGGCACTTTTGTGCTGCAGTGCTCATGGAACTTGTAGCCACATGTTTGGCAACGGAAACCATTCAAGAGGAACTTCTGGCATATGTCGCAGAAAGCCAATTTCAGAAATGTTTTTCTTACCTGAAAAGGAAATAAATAATAGATTCAGGACTCTTTTATTAACCGTGAAATGAAATGTTCAAGATGCACAAAAAACCCCTCTGCAGCACTTACAAAATTGTGTGTAGTTAAGGGAACATGGTCCAAAACCTCCACTAGAAGTTCCTCCCCAATGAGCGAGGTAGAGTCTGTGTTCCAGTCCATACGAGACTTCTTGCTGTAATCATAAACACAAGGTAGCTCATGAGATCAACAAAAACTGCGTGAGCACTGTGTGGGACTGTTCTGTACATGCTTGCGCAGTGCTTATTCCTGCCCCTTTCTAAAGGCCAATGTATACGGTTTTACATGTACACTACAGTATCTATACAACGAGTGGGACAAAACATCATCAGCACCATTTAAGACAATTAAACTGATAATTCATTTGTTTTTAACTAGTTGTTGCTTTGGAGAACTGCAACATTAGCTGTTAGCTGCATGCTCCCGGGTTACATGTTACACAGCAAGGACGGGAACTTGGCTTTTGTCTTTATTCACCGTTTTGAATAAAAAGATATCACTTATGCTTTGTGAGGATCCAGTACATTTTCATTTCAGGGGTTGAAGGTAATTCAATTTATTGCAATAAACATGAGTACTCCGAAGAGGATGTGTTGTAAAGTAGATCTTGTTAAGTGAATTAGAATCAAAATCATGTTAATATCATATTGGACATATCTTCCAATTTTAGTCATAATCAGTATCAGAAAATCCCACTATCGGTCGACCTCTAATTCTTCATCGATTTTTAAGAACTTTAAGAGAAGTGATTCTGATGCTGCATGTAGTGAGTGTAGACAGCATTTGTTTAGCCAGTTAATACTGAGTGATATACTCACATCATGATTCGGTTTACTGATCTCACGATGCAATACCCTCACAATACTTTAAATGTTAAAAGTTAAATGAGAATTTATTATTATTATTATTATTTTAAAGGCATATGATAAAGTTAACAAAAAGTATTGTTCATAGAAATGGTAAATTCAATAGAATCTGACAAACTCTACTGTAAATGTTGTTTCTTATTCTCAAATAGCGGTAAAAAAAAGTTTTCAGGCTGGACCAGTCAATGCGCAGTCTTAAAGGTCCTCTGAAGTGCCTTGAAACACGCAGCGTTATGCTATGTGGTGACGTAATTTCAACTGGAACAGTAAGACGGGGCGGGACATATCGAGCAGACATATCGACCCCTTTTTAAATAGCCAATATCGCTTCGTTTATATCACAGCTTGAGCCAGAGCCTTTGAGATCGGTAAAGCTGCATTTGACAGCGTATGACAGCCACAGTCTAATAGATCAGCCCTTTAGATTCAATATGAAACTGTTACTAAAGCAAAACAGTGATTATAATGATGCTGAGGATGTGTAGCTTGAAAATTGGGTCATTTATGTTGGTGCAGGACACCGGTGTTATCTCTTCTACTCGCCAGTGCTGTTTGTCTAACCGTTTCTCCTCCTAATCTGATCTGAATCGCTATAAAATATAGCATTCTGTGTAGAATTCAAACGGGTCTGATATAGTTTGTGGTCTGCGCAACTCGAGCATATGATCCGCTCCGTGATATCGTGTCTCTGGACCGGAGCAGACTGTGTGCGCCCTGCGGCGGTTCGCGTACACAACACAACGGGAAACCAGACTTCTTTCGACCCAATGGAAAGCATATTTGTGACCCTGGAGCACAAAACCAGTCATAAGGGTCATTTTTTTTAAATTGATTAATACATCAAGCTGAATAAATGAGCTTTCCATTGATGTATGGTTTGTTAGGATAGGACAATATTTGGCTGAGATACAACTATTTGAAAATCTGGAATCTGAGGGTGCAAAAAAATCTAAATACTGAGAAAATCATCTTTCAAGTTGTCCAAATGAAGTTCTTAGCAATGCATATTACTAATCAAAAATTAAGTTTTGATATATTTACGGTAGGAAATTTACAAAATATCTTCATGGAACATGATCTTCACTTAATATCCTAATGATTTTTGGCATAAAACAAAAAATCGATAATTTTGACCCATACAATGTATTTTTGGCTATTGCTACAAATATACCCCAGCAACTTAAGACTGGTTTTGTGCTCCAGGGTCACATATACTA